CCTCTTTTTTTTTGTGAGACGGATTTTCCTCGCTTTGTTGCTAGGGGCTGAGTGCGGTGCCATTGGCATTTCCAGGGCCTAGCGTCACAGCAACCTCCCAACTCCATCGGCGCCCCTCCTTTTATTTATAGTAGAGACGGGGTCTTGCTCTTGCTCAGGCTGGTTTCGAACTCCTGACCTCGAGCAATCCGCCTGCCTCGGCCTCCCAGAGTGCTAGGATGACAGGTGTGAGCCACCTCGCCCGGCCTGCAAATATCTCTTGAGACCCTGTTTTCAGTTCTTTTGTAAACACCCAGAAAGGAATTTTCCGGATCGAACGGTAATTCCGTGTTTGATCTGTTGCGGAACTGCCACGCTGTCTTCTGTGGTGGCTGTACACCGTTCCCGTGGTTTGAAACGCTAACTACAGGCTGACGAATTCCAGCTTTGCACCTACAGATCATCGAATCACAGACGACATGCCCCTACGTTAACTTGACTCAACATCTTCCATAACAGAAACACAGACTAGACAAACAGGACCTGGAGAAAGTCTTGTTGATGAACTTGAACCTGAGTGGCAGGATCTGACGTTGGGGAGTTTTGGACTACACAGAACAGAGGGTTTCCCAAGACACACAGGGCCCCGAGAACTGGCGGGGGCCAGAGGGGACATCCCTGTTGGGAACTGTCCCTTGTCTTTGCCCTGTCTCTTGTCTTTCCTGCACTCTGTGTAGTGGCTTCATTCTCCTCTCTTGCTACAGACCAACCCCCGGGCCTCTCACTTAAGCTGGCGGAAGACATTGCTGCCATCGGCACCTGCACATGCTCTGTTGAAGAAATCAGGTAGCTTGACCTGAAATGTCTCTGTCCCAAACTCACACCACTAGGGAAAGGATTCCTTGGCTCATCTTGGGGGGGAATCTGCCCTGCCTGAGGGTCTACCATATGCCAGGCACCCTCTAGGTGGTGGGAGTACAGAGAACAGAATGGACGAGATCCTGTTGTCATGGAGGGTATAGTCCACAACACTGCACCTGCTGTATGTCTATTACTGAGCACCTGTCAAGAGCCAGGCCCCGACCTTGCACTAGGATACCACCTGAGCAAATCGCACAAACATAAGATTGCAGGTAGCGATGCATTCTTTCTTTGAATCGATAGTCTAGGTTGCTATATGAATATAGAGCAGGGGAACCTGATCTGGTTTCAGGAACTGGGGAACTTTTTTTTTTTTTGAGACAGAGTCTCTCTCTTGTTCCCTGGGCTAGGGTACCGTGGTGTCAGCCTCGCTCACTGCAACCTCAAACTCGGGTCAGATCCTCTGCTCAGCCTCCTGAGTAGCTGGACTAGCAGCTTGCGCCATGCCCGGGCTATTTTTTTTATATTTTAGTGGCCATAATTCTTTTCTATTTTTAGTAGAGCGGGGTAGCATCTTGGTCGGTGGTTTTGAATCCTGACTGAGCATCCCGCTCGGTCTCCCGAGTAGATTACAGGCGTGAGCACTGCGCCTGGCCGAACTTTATTAAAGATGTAAATTAAATGATTTATGCCGCAGGTAGTCATGCCTGTAATCCCAGCACTGGTGGGACGGCTGAGGCGGACATCACTGGGTCCAGGAGTTCAAATCGCGGGGCGACTAGTGACCTTTCTACAAAAAAAAATGAGTGATTTAGAACGTATGATTACAAAGAATCACAAGATATACAGGAGTTCAATATCCCAGCATTCAGTTTTCCCTTCTATTTATTAATTCTTATTATTTTTTTGAGACGAGTCTCGCTTGTTGTCCAGGCGCTAGGAGTGAGTGCCGGTGTGCGTCAGCCTAGTCTCCAGCAAACTCAAACCTCCTGGGCTAGTGATCCTTTGGCCTCAGCCTCCGGTAGCTGGGACTACAGGCATGGCCACCATGCCGCGCTAATTTTTATATATATCAGTTGCCATTAATTCTTCTATTTATAGTACAGACGGGGTCTCGCCTTGTAGGCTTGGTTTAGAACTCTACCTTGAGCAATCCGCCCGCCTCGGCCTCCCAGAGCTAGGGATTAAGGCTGAAGCCACGCGCCCGGAGTTTTCCTATTAACATCTTAGTTGTGTATGGTCATCTTGTTATATAATGAGCACATTTGATATTCTTGCTATGAACTAAAGTCCAATTAATTTTAGATTTCTTTAGTTTGTTTCTAATGTCCTTTCTCTGTTCCAAGATCCCATCCAGGAAGCCATATTGCATTTATTTGTCATGTCTCCTTGGGGCTCCTCTTGGCTGTGACAGTTTCACAAAATGCTCCTTGTTTTTGATGACCTTGAGAGTTTTGCAGAGTATTGGTTGGGTATTTTGTAGGATGCCCCCTATAAGAATTTGTCTGATGTCTTCCTCATGCTGATTTCAGGCTTATGAGTCTTGGGAAGGGAGGCCACAGAGTGAAGTGCCGTTGTCATCTCAACGTGTAAAGGGTATGTGCTATCAACATGACTTATCATTATGGGTGACCAACCACCTTGGTCACCTGAGGCCTGGTGACCTGAGTCCTGGGAGCCCCACTGTGAAGTAATTCTTCTCTCCCCTTTCCTGGAATTTGGAAGGAAGTCACTATGTCCCTCTGACATTTAAGAATATACAAACACAATGAGTGAGATGTGCAACATTTGGGGGATGGTCACACTTGAGGCTCTGACTCGAGGGGGGAGGGGGGCATGGGCAATATACGTAACCTTAACACTTGTACCCCCATAATACGCTAAAATAATAAAAAAGAAGAGTTATGGGGGTGAATGTGTCACGTCCTTGACAGCGTGTTTTGTTTTTCACAGCGTTATTGAAGTGTAATTTACATGCCACAGAATTCACTTGTTTTAAGCGAACAGTTCCATGAGTTTCGGTAAATTTATAACGCGTGCCTGAGGGAACCGGTCTTTGAGCCAACATCCAAAGGATGAGAATGATTTAACTAGGCAAAGGAAGAAAAAGATGGCCCCAGGCAGAGGTGACCGCATGGACCCCTTGCTGGGAGCGTGGCACATTCAAGAAATTTAGGTTAATTCTGAATCATCGTGCAAAAGTAAGATATGTCACCGTACTTCATTCACTGTGCTTCGTATTCAATATTTAATATTTTCTTCAAAACATTTAAAAGTCAACAGCATTTTAATGCCTCAGTGCGTAAACTCTGGCTACGTGAAACGTTTGTTGAGAACAGCTCAGTTCCTGATGTAAGTTTATCCGAAGTTTTACTATAACAATAAATAAACATTAGGATGGTAAAATTCAGAATGGTCCCCGAGGGGGAATAAAATTGTAATAAAATTTCCTCCCTTTTTCAGGTCTTGTTTCAATAAGAATGTGAAACACGTGTACTGTATGTTTTCTGATGAAGTATTTGATTGATTTCCCGTTGGAACAAACACGCCACAACAAAGCAAGAATGAGAAGACTATTCGGAGGTAGAAGAAGGGAATGGAACTATATTCAGAATTATGTGTTCATGCAAAAGTAGAATCTGAAAAAAATCTAGTTAGCAAAAATGCTGTAAGGCTCCTTCCACGTGTGAGGTATCTAAGAGGCTCTCTCATGACTTCCGTGGGACATGGAGATCCATGGCATATGTCAATATGAGCCCCGTGTTAGTCAGGATAGGTAAAGCCATGCTGCAGTAACAAGGAAACCCCTTGTTCTCAGTGGCTTCATGCAACAGGCCACTGCTTGATGTAGGTTCATGTGGCCTTCCTTGGTGGCTCAAAGATCTAGGCTCCATTCATCTTTCAATTGTGTCATCTCCATCATGTAGCCTCACCAATTTGCCACAGAAGAGGAAGAGAGAGTGTGGATGATGACTTAAGGGATTTTATGGCCAGGCCGGGAAGTGGTATATGCAACCGTTCTGCCCACACTCCTATGGTCAGAACCCAGTTACAATGGCCCCATTTAAGGGCAAAGGAGGCTGGGAAATGTAGTCTTCTTGTATATGCAGGAAGAAGAAAATAGAATGAGATTTGGTGAACATATAGTATTGTCCTTGCCACAAGCTCTTGATTTTTTCCTAGCTATGAAAGTACATGCTTAGGCCGGCGCGGTGGCTCACGCCTGTAATCCTAGCACTCTGGGAGCCTGAGGCAGGCAATCAGTTAAGGTGAGGAGTTCGAAACCAGCCTGAGCAAGAGCAAGACCCCCATCTCTACTAAAAGTAGAAAGAAATTAATTGGACAACTAAAAGAGTATATAGAAAAAAAAATTAGTCCGCGGCATCTGGGTCCGCGCCTGCACACCTGTAGTTGTCCCAGCTAGCTCGGGAGCTGAGGGCAGGAGGATCACGTTGAGCTGGAGTTGAGGTTGGATGTGAGCTTGAGGCTGATGCCATGCACTCTAGCAGGGGCAAGACCGAGTGAGGACTCTGTCTCAAAAAAAGGAAATAAATAAGATGAGAGTACCATGCTATCGTAAGTGGTGACATAGTTGTATAAAAGCGAGAAACGAAAGTATGTCACCCCCCCGCCCTCAGTTCTCGCTCCCTGGTGTCGCTGCCACACTGCTTCTCGTGTTGTGTTGGTGAAACTGCAATGTCCGCAGATGATGAGGGCTCAGGGAAATGCAACTCGAGGAGACCCTGTCTAACCGGAAGTTTCTGATAATCCTTCTGGAGTGGAATGTTGCCTCCGGAAGTGAGGAGGTTGACGAGAGCGCGCAGGAGGCGCGAGCAGTGTGCGGAGTGTGACCCGGATGCTTTTGTTTTTTTTTCGGGCGTGAAATGTGAAGAATAGTCGTTGCGTGTTATTTTGTGGATTTTGTGATTTTGTGGTAATTATTATTTTAGGCGTATTGATGGGGGGCTACGAGAACGTGTTAAGGATTACATGATTGCCCGATGATTCGCCCGCTCCCCCTTCGAAGTAAGATCTTCAGCATTGTCAAGTCCCCCAGGAAGTTGGCACATCGTTACTCATGGTGGTTGTAGTACCACCCATGCCCCTCCTCCCCACTCCCAGCCTCGCGACGAGCGCGGATGAATGTTTACTCCTAACTATGGCCACCTGTAGGGTGTTGATCCGTGAAAGCCAAGTTTGCTGGTGAGTACATGTGTGGTGCTTGTTTTTGCGATGTCTTGAGATACTCTCACTTGTTAGAATGGTTCCAGCTCGTATCCAGGGAATATACAGGGCAGAGAGGCGCTGTTTATTTTGTGTGGCGCGGCGGCGGGGCGGGGTGCTATATCACCATTGATTTGCTTCAAAGCTGAGTAGTACTCCGCATGTGTGATAATGATACCACACTTTTTTAATCCACTCGATGAATTGATTGGGACACTGTTGGTTGTTTTCCAGCTTTGATTGTGAATTGTGCTGCTAGACCCATGCTTTTGCTTCTCTTTTTCTTGGTCTTTGGCAGGAGCTGCAGCCTCAGAAAGACCTGGGTTCGGATCTGCCTCTGCCTCCTACCATCTGTGTGACTTTGGACAAGCTGTAAACTCTTCCGAAATGTTATTTACCTCGTATTTAAAACACAGATCTGGCCTCTATCCCGTGTGGTATTTGCAGTATTACAAGATGAAGTCGCCTCTCAAATCTCCTAGATTTCTGGGTGTCTAGGACGTCTCAGCATGTATAACTAGAGACAGAGCCAACTAGTATTTAAAATGTGTGCGGTGTGACCCAGACGCTGGGGCCCAAAACAAAATATCATATGACAGGGAGGAAGGGAAGAGAGAACATAGATGGGAAATGTTAGCGGGCCGATGAGGATCTGGAGTATTCATTCGGGAAGGAAAGAAACTGTGCAGGGAAATGAAGATTGGGAGATTTGGAAGTTATTAGAAACATGTTGAGACTGATCAGGCCACGTGGATAGCAATTTGCCTGTTCATTAGCTATGCATAGTTCCCACCAACAGAGGCGGAGTCCCGCTGTGGCAGACCTTGGCTTTAATGACCCAATGGAACAAAATGTTCAGCGATGCTCAGAGGGTCCCCGGAGGAAGGGACAGGGCCTGCTCAGTGCTTTAGTTGTTTTGCGGTTTAATGCAACAGTGGTCTGCAAGCCTAGAAGCACAATGAAAGGCAAGTATCAAATTTTGCCTGTTGGGCGGGTGGTGGGAAGGAACAGCGACAACCGAAAGATTAAAACTAGAAAGGATCATCCTGAGGAACTCAGCAAAAAGCACAGAGAAAAAGGACCCAAACACGAAAACTTTGGCATTTCTACAAATGTATAAAAGGTGAAAAAAAATAATTGAAAAAGGGTTTATCGGTAAGTGTTTGGTCCGAAAAAGCAGAAGCGTCTTTAGGTATTTCGAACAGAGAGGGATTTAATACAGGGAATGAAGTTACAAAGCTGGAGGAAGAACTGAGAGAGCGAAGACAGGGCAAGTGTGTCTGTCACCCAGAGATTAAAAACTGTAGGAGGCAGGGAACATATCCCACGCAGTTCAGTCCTGAACACTGAAAGCTGATGAGTTTAGATCTCTGGTGTGTTTTAGAACAGCTCTTTAGCTTTCCTGGCCTTTGAGCCGCCTATAGGTAAGATTATAATCTGAGTGTTTAGTTTTATGGCCTGTGCGACATGCAATACCCTAAAGGTGCTCAAGAGTATGACAATGGCAACGATGCAGTAGGCAACGTGCAGGCTGTGAGAACTGGCTCATGGTGCTGACAAATGTGGGCCTGTCGGGGACCATTTGCACAGATGGGGCTGGTGGAAGTCGCCGGCTTGGTGTCGCCTCCGCTGATCCGTGGAAACCAGGGCTTGCACGCGACACCCTCCCTGTGCGACGTTGCAGGGGAGGGGTAGCGATGCTCGATGCTCTAGGTGGTGAGTCTCATGGCGTGCACGACCACATCTGACAGCAGGGCTGGCGAATCCTTTTACCGACTATTTGGGGTCCAGGAGTGTTTGAGAGGACACGATTTGGGAGGAGCACAGCAGTGACCTTGTGGCAGGGCGCGGGGAGGGCACACCCACCGTGGGGCTCTCCCTCAGGGCCGCTCGCTTCTTGGGCGCCTCCGTCTTCTTCCCAGCCGTCTGGGTTGCGTTTCCTTCTTGTGCATTGGTGCGGTTTGGACAGTTGGCCCCTCCAAATCTCAGGTCGAAATCTGGTCCCCAGTGTTGTATGTGGGGCTGGTGGGAGGTTTCTGAGTCATGGGGTTGGGTCCCTCATGAAGAGCTTTGTGCCCTCCCTGGGATACGAGTTCTCGCGAGAGCCTGGCACCACATCCTCCCTCTCTCTTTGTTCCTTCTCTCGCAGGGTGACACGCCTGCCCCTCCTTAACCTTCTGCCTCGGTTGGAAGCTCCCTGCAGCCCTCGCTAGCAGTGGGTGCTGGTGCCACGTTTGTGCAGCCTGCAGAACCGTGAGCCAAATAAATCTCTTTTTTGAGACAGTCTCACTCTGTTGTCCAGGCTAGAGTGAGTGCCGTGGCGTCAGCCTAGCTCACAGCATCCTCAAACTCCTGGCTCAAGTGATCCTCCTGCCTCAGCCTCTCAGAGTGCTAGGATTACAGGCGTGAGCCACCACACCCGGCCAAATCTCTTTTCTTTGTAAATGACCCAGCCTCAGGCATTTCCTTTGCAGCGGCACAAATGGACCAAGACACCCACTTGGGTCTGCCCGCTCAGCACTGTCCCTCCAGGCCTTTGCTGGA